ACTTTTGTATTTTGGAAGTTTTATTGCATGTCTTCTAACCTGCGTATAATCGAGAATTTTAACAATTTTTCTTGGCAACGGCGTGAACAATTGCTCAAGCTCACATGATTTTGTTTATTTTGGTTACCTCTTTATAAAGATAACTTTAATTGAATTAAAAGCTATTAATTAATAAAAAAAACCATTTTTCAAAACGTGGCTAGTAGAAATCTTTTTCCAAACATTTGTCAGGAACGAAGTACATGATCTATGTAATAAAAGTTAGTAGTACCGATTTTATGCAAAATCATTAAATTTACTAATTTACTAGCGTAGACTAATTTTCAAAAATTGCTTCACCTCACGTGTCATCTATTATTTTCAAGCCATTAAACAATTGCTTTAACATAATTAAATAAAGCTATAGAATAAAGGCCCCTTTCAGCGGTTCAAACTGTTTTCAGTAGTGTGGTATTATAATATGTATTTGGATTATATACTGCAGCAATTTCCTAATTAGTTTTACAAGAGATTACTTTATTTAGTTAGTATTAAACAAATAAGGTAAAGATCATTTTAACAGATTAAATGGTTTAAACAAAAAAAATGTGACAATGGCAAGTATGTGTGTGATAACTAAAGTCATTATTATCATATCCTGTAATTCAGATTGCAATATTTTCATTATGTCAGTTGTATCATTATAAGTACTCGAAAACAGTTTTTTAAATACAAAAATTGAGGCTTGCTTAGGTATTTGATCGAGAATTGCAAGTCATGTATGATGTACAGTATACGATAAAAATTATATTTGAGATTGGAGCCAGTCAAAAAAATATTAATCGGTCAGAATTTATGTTTTATGAATTTTGACCAGTCGAAAGATCAGTAATATTCAAAGTTCATAAAACTGACTTTTAGTATTGACGTGCTTTGATACAATCAATCAAAAAAAAAACTATCTGCTCATAATTTTTATAATTTATTAATTGGGCTTTAATCCATTAATCGGTCAACGGTTAAGTGGTTTCAATCTCTAGTTATGCCCGTAATACAATGTATTTGGAATTACTTAAATTTTTATTATAGTGTAGTTATTTTAGAATTACTTTTATTTCAAATATATAGATAACTATTACTAGTTTATATAAACTAGCCTACTAACTAGACACAAAAATCAAAAAAAGATCATATTACTATATATTTTAGGATATAGATAAGAATATGTTGAATGCAATGGGATTTCGTTTAATAATAATGAATAAAATAATAATTGTAGCTTTGAATTTATATAAAGCAAAACTACTAATCTTTAAAAAAAAAAAAATTCCAGACCTAAAGATAAAACTATTCTTTGTATTTTAATTCATGTTCTTTAACTTGCAAATTATATTGAAATTCTTTTTCCATTCGTTTCATTTCTAATTTAAATTTTAGCTCTTGTTCTTTCACAAATTTTTCTTTTTCCTAATTTAACTTTTCAAGTTCAATTTCTCTTTCTTCTTTTCTTTCCTCTAATTCATTTAAAAATTTCTGATTCTCAATCTTTAAACATTCTTGCACAATCTCTAAACTAACCTTTTTGGTTTTTCTTAAAAATCTTAATTCATCTAAATACATTTGATCAAGTTCAGAATTTTTTTGTTTCTTATAATTTGAAACTGCAAGACCTTTATCGTTAACATCATTTTTATCATTCTATTAAAATAAATTATAATTAGTAAATATAACTATAGCAAATATAATATACAGTTGTTTTTTTTTAGAATCACATAGTCCATATTATGTAAACTATATAATTATATAAAGGTTCTTACTATTATGCTTATAAAGATATTTTTTTATAAGTCTATTAGTAAAATGTTGCTGGCTTTAGCAGGATTATAAAAAGAGTTTTACTATGATTATATAGAAGGAGAACAGCTGTACTTTAAAAATAATAGAATTTATTTATTTTACTATATCAATGCTGGATGCTAAATAATCTAGTTTTATATTTTCTTTATTTCCAGATATTTCATTCATATCATCCAAGTATGACCATTTCGATCTAGTTTTACTAGTTTCCTCTTTATTTTCATTCTCATATCTTGTTCTAAGTGACTGAATTTTTGAGTTGACTTGAGCACTAGTTCTATTATTACCAATTTTATTTGCAGCCATACTATAAAATTTTGATTTATTTTTATGATACAAATCAAAATTGTCTGATAGATAAGAAATTAAGGTTCTTGTCTCTGAATCTGACCAAAATTTACTGCTTGGAATTGATTCATCATAATTTGATTCATTATCTATAACTTTAAATTGTTTTGAAGTTTTAATTTGAGTTCGAGTAATTATATTATTATCTTGAGAAGAAGGAGATACATAATTAATAAACTGAATAGAAGCGATAATAGAAGTGAATTGATCTATTACAAAAAGAGAACTTCAGATTTTAAATTTAAAATTGTTACTTTTTATTGCTATTATATTGCATTTTTAAAAAGCAAAAAAAATGCAAATATATTGATAACTTTAGCTCAAATTTATTAATATCCAAATTAAGGATTCTATACAAATTTTAATAATCGTCAATTCTAACAAATAAGTTAGTAACTATAACAAAAAGTTTATTGGTCAAAGAGAACTTTCAAGCATATTTATTTAATAGTTCATACATTTATTATATTGATTATGCAATTTATCAGTATAGATAAATTTCTTTAAATAGTATATTTAAAAAGGCTGTTATAAATTTATCTACATTAATACTGTATATAATTTAATATACTAACCCTATTAAATCATCAATGTAATTTGTTTAAAGATCCTTTTAAGAATAGATGTTTCTGCTATAACCACATCTGGGTTATAAGAATTTCACACTATACGATAGCTTTTCATTTACTACATTTATATACAATAGACATTTTTTATACTAAAACCAATGCAGTACAATGACATGTCTTTATGAAAATAATATATGCATAACTAACATTGTAAGCTCTATTTTTTTAAACTTTTCTGAATTACTTTATCGAGTATATTTATAGAAGATTGCTGTAATCACTAAATAATAATAGTAAAAGTTTTTGCTCAAGCATCAATCATAATTAATATTTTAGTTTATTATAATATTTAAGTAACATGCATAAATTTACTATACTTATATGAGCATAATTCAATTATACTATTCTCTGTACTATTGGTCCTTTAATTAAATATTGCTATAATGGTTGAGCAATACTATAATTACACTCTAATCATACTAAAAATGCTGCTTGTTAAATAATTGAATATTTTTTTATATTTATAATATTTATCAACTACTTCGTGGAAACCGTACATCTTTATGAAAACAATAAAATATCCTGAATTTAGTATAAATTATTAATAATATAGGTTGCTAAGAGAAAAAATCACAAATTTGGGTTCTTACTAGCACTATAAATGAAGTTTTAGCAAGAGTTTTTAACAAAATATAAAATATTGCCAATTTTTTACACTTTATCAAAAACCCTTATTAAAACCTTGTTAATAGTGCTAGAAAGAACCTAAATTTGTGATTTTTCCTCTTAGTAACCTACTGTAAATTATTAATAATTTATGCTAAATTCAGGATATTTTGTTGCTATTGCAAAAATGTACAATTTCTGTAATATAGAGTAGCTGCACACTCAAATCAAAAATATAACATATGAATTCCTTTTCTTATCATTAAATAAGTAAATAATATTATAAATTGATGTGAATAATAATCCAGATTTCTTAGATTTTTAGGTTTCAGAAATTGATTAGTACTCTTTCTAAAATTAATAATCATGACAATATTAATAGCAATGAAGTACCTCAACAAGAGAGATACTACTTGTGCAAATTACAGTATGCTTACTTATTTTGATTAGTTTATTTATCTATTTACTTATTATATACTATATAAAAGGTTTAATATCCAAATCTAAATCAATTAATTATATCAATAATGTTAATAAAATACATATTCCAAAACATTATATATACTTAACATTAACACATCTTATTTACACATGCTGGCTGCATATAAATTTGTCTAATCAAGATTATAGGACTGCAAATTTGCCTTTCTAGATGGCAGTTATTTATATAATACGTATTAGTGTTATTAGGTAAAACTTAGAGGTTTCACAAAAGATGAAAGTCAAAACTAGTTTCGACTTTCACCAAAAAAAATTGAAAATGTTGAAACTGTTGAAACTATTGAAACTGGTGAAACTACTAAAAGATGAAAAGGATCTCCTTTAGTATAGGTGGGCATATATAAATTATTACAAAATTATAATATATAAAACCCATCTAATTTAGACCAATTTATATTATAACTCTAACCCTAACCCTAACTATTTGTAAATTTACTTAAATTGATTCAAAATAGTTAATTTATATATATTATAATTAAATAATAAACATATTTGCCTACCTATACTAAAGATCAACTGATGAAAAATAATAAAATTAGTAAAAATAAGAAAATAAATAAAATAAGTACTAATAGAATGATTTATTATTTATTTATATATAAGATAAAAAGGAAGTATTATAATGTATATCCAATTACAGAAATCAGAAATAGATAATTTTATTATTATTTGATTTATTTTAAATAAAGTATTAGAAACTAGTAGTCAATAATAATGTTAACAAATTATTTACATAATGTGATTTCAGAAATCGGTGAGTCTGTCACTAAACTAATCCAACTCTCGCATAACCTATGACAGCTAAGTTGAAATAGGCGTGTTAGATTTGGCAGGTGGTTTATCTATAGGTAAGTACTCATCTCTTCTCTATGTCTTTCCTTTAATTTGTTCTTCTACTAACTCTCTGTCTTCTCATGTCTTCTCTTTACATTCCTCAACTCAGGATTACACTACATTGAATCAGGGTTGGAACTTCTTCGATTTTGTTAACGGTCTGGTCACATGACTTGCAGCAAGTCATCAATTGGTGGGTTAGTAGTTTATAAATGAGCAAACAATATGGGCAACAGTGGGATTATCGATGGTTTATTAGTTTATTATTGTATTTATACTTTTATTATAGATCAGATATTTATTAATACTGGAAGTTTTTTTTTTATAAGGGACTGCCCTTATTCCTGGGGCAGAAATGCCTTTTATTTATAATAAACATCTTATTTACATTCATAATCAATTTATGCCCTAAATGCCAGATACTTCATATATTCTCTAAATGTCATAAAAGACCGATATGCCATTTATCACATATATAGCCAAAGTAGCAGAAGTGACATAAGTGTCATAAGTACCATAAGTACTATAAGTACCATAAATGCCATAAGTAACATTTCTGTTACTTTTCACGTGACCTTGGATTGGGTAAGGATCGTCACTCTGATTTGGGCACCCGTGATCCCAAAAATCAGGCTCACAATTTGTATAATATTTAATTAAAGTTTTAATAATAAAATGCTTGTAAAGAATAAATTTTGACTATATAATAATAAATTTATTTAAATATTTTAATAAGTTCATTTTTACAAATAATATTAATACATAAATAAACATTACTAAAAGAAAACAGGATTTTAAACTTTGAATTTTTAGATGCTGAATTGATTTATTATAAGTTCAAAAGCCCGAAGTCTAGTTTTCTTTTAACAGTATTCAAATACAAATAAAAGACCATCACTTTGTTTATTGCTTTTATACATTCTTATATAAGCCAACTGTGCTTAATGGTTACATGCAAAATAGAGTTTTGATGTTTTCGTGGAGTTTCACCAGTTTCAACTTTTGTCAGATTTAGTTTTGACTTTGCCATTTACCAAAAATAGTTTTGTCTAACAACACTAGTACATATATATTTTATAATTTTATTACTATATTCCTAGTATAAATATTATAAAGAATATATATACTTTTATTATTTAATTTGTTAAAATTATCTCTTAATAAAAAGTATAAATAATAACAATAAAATAAAAAAACTAAAAAAATGAGTAAGTTCAAATATATAAAAATTTAAACTATATTTAAAATGTATATTAAAATATATATATATAGTAATATATTAACTTAACACAATATTCATTAAATTCAGTCTTTTAATATTTTCTGCTTCTTTAATTGCCTGGCTCCTTCATGTATTAATATCATTAAATTGCATTTGATGTATTAATATTTGCTCTGAAGATTCCTTCTACTTATCTTCATTTCTTTCTAAGAGATTATATAAAATTAATAACATTTCTATTAAATCAGTTTCATTTTGGTATTTTTTGTTCTTAGCTCTTGCAATAACCAAAATCTACTTTTCAATCAACCGAATGCTTGCTCTACTACAACTCAAGATTTGCTATGCTTTTTATTAAATGCAATTTGCTGATCTTTATTTAAGCCAGAGGGATTCTTAAATGAAGAAATTATATTTAATGAAATTGGATATGCAAAATTAGCTAATACATAATCAGTTTCTTCAAAAAGCTGATTCCTGCAAAGATATAAGCTAGAATTTTGAAATACCTTAGCATCATGAACTGATGCAAGGTATCCAAGATCATAGTTTATAAATATTCCTTAATGATTCACAACAGCTTGAAGGTGAATTGCATAATAACGCTTTCATGTATAGTAAACATCCTTATTCAATTTACTAGAAGCTTCGAGCAAATTCATATGAGAACTATCTAATGCACTGATTATATTTGGAAACCTATGCATATTCTCAAAACCTTTATGAATCTTTTGTTGATAATTATCATGTGACCAGATAATAACATTTTTTTTTAAATCTTTTAAGGCCTTAATAACTCTGATGTAAATAATAGAACAGTACCTTCTGCAATTCTGAATTTAGAACAAATATTTCAAATTGTCACCTTTTCATCTAATCTATATAAAACTACTGCAAGCTGTTTTTCTACCAGACTTTGCTTTCTTTGTAGACTACTTTTAAAAACCTTATGGTTTTGTTTTTTATTGACGATTAGCCAAAATGTTAACAGTTTCATTATTAAAGTTCAACAAAACCGAAGTTTATCATAATTAAACAAAATATTAGAGTACCAGTAGTCAAATTTCAGATGAATATTTATAATTTGAGAAGAAATGCTTAAATAACAAGAACTAATAGATATAACAAGATTTTTATCATAACATAGATTAATATCAACATCAGATTCAGATTCATTTTGATCTGAATTTAAAGATTCCATAAGTAACTAAAATTAGAGAGAATTCAGCACTTTTACAATATAATTTTTGAAATTTTGTTTATATTTCATTAAAATTAATAAGATATTTGCTTAATATATAACATGTATTGTCATGTTCTAATTGGTAAATATTTTAATATAATAAAATAATGTATTATCATACATTATACTTGAATCAAATCTTTTAGCTCTAGTTGTGACTTTGTGATAATACCAATACATATTATGTTTATTAATAAATTAACAATTCTTATCATTTTAACAATTCAAATTTTATATATATGTGCATATTTTTGTTACTAAACCAAATAAAGCACCCAGATTACTATATTAGAGTAAATATAGTATATACCAATAAAATGAGTTTGAACTGCTAAAAAGGGCCAAAATTTTTATTTATGATTTTTTTTAATAAAGTCAATTTATTTTTTTAGTTTTAACAATATTACAAAAGTTTTTACCAATTTAATTAAAAATATTATTCTATAGCTTTGCTTAATTATATTAAACTTATCATTTGATGTATGATAAAATAATTTTTTGAAAACTAGTCTTCACTAATATACTGGTGATCATATTAATGCAACAAAAAAAAAATTTAGTTAGATTATATTATTTCACACAATTCCAGGCATATTTCTTAAATTTTTTTTTTATTTTATTCACAAATAGCAATATTATCATTTATAAAAAAGATTTAAAAATTTAGTGATCAAAATTTTTT